TAGAGTGCCTGTGAAGCCCATTGCATTCATAATCCCTGGGCTCACTGGCAAGCCCACTGTAGCACAGGTACATACAGTACAGTGATATAACGGAAGCCGGCAAAATACTGCCGCCCACCTATAATATGACAATGTGGGTCAAAATTCAAAACGTAACATCATAACAAACAACAACTTGTAACATTAACACTGAAAACAAATGTCAATCTTTTAGTTTTGACGGATGCAAAGGTTATTACAAGGACATAGTTAAGAGGTTGTCACCATGACTAGTGACTACTCTTCTTTCGAAAGACAACAAAAATCCACCTGGATATACATTCATTCACACATTTCTCAATTAGTCATAACTGAAAATAAGACAACTATATGTTGCCCCAAAACTGATAGAGATTAAAATTATAGTCATATCAGAAGGGCATTGTTAGTTAAAGACGTCAGATAAACCAAATGCAGAAAATATGTTCGTGCGATTGAACAGAACATATAGCTAGTCTGCCTTTAAAAAGTCCTCTCACCATTCACGGTGTACAGTTAACTCGAGATAATACTCAGAGTATGTTCATTTCTAATGTTCATATCTGTCCTGCTATATAGATGACAATTAGTTGTTCCACCGTCCCTATATCTCCAAGTGTACCGAAAGTGCTAGTGTTAACCAAATCATCCTTTATTTGGACCTTATACATCTCATTAAAAATTGTATAAGCTGGCAACAACACTAAGACTGCACTCATTTATGGCATAACAGGAAGAGCAGGACAAAATTTCAAAAGATCGTATTATCCTCAGTCCTCACACATAATGTCCACATGAAGTTTAAACCTTTTAATTTCAGCAAATACAAAATCAGATCAACATTCATCTGAAAATCTAGCTTCTGATAAAGCATAAGTAATAGTGCAAGCAAAAGTAAATAGTTTACAAAAACAATTGAATAAATTTAAAATATCCATATAACTAGAGGTAGTAGGGTTACTCACTGATGGATGCAGTGTGGCAACAGCAAACACAAACACAAGAATCAAAGTCATCACAATGAAGAAAGTGTTGAGGCCACAATCATGTCCCGAAGGGGTAAAGAGATAGAAGAGAAGTCCTGAGAATGAAAAGGTTGCCACATAACACACAAGTGAAACAACAAGCAAAGCCATGTACCTGCAAAATGCAAAGAAAATACAGATAGGACATCAACTGATCAAGAACAATAGAAATATCTACAATCCTTCTAGTAAGATAATGTGGAGATAATAAAATAATAAAAAAAAAGTTGGCAACTACCAAAACTGCTCGTCGTATCCAACCCACTTGTCATTCCATCCATGAACAAAATCCAACAGAAGCACAACTTGAACAAGAAGGAACAATCCTGAGCCGAACTTGGATGTTGTCTCTGCATATATATATATATATTAAAGAAGCAAAATAGTAACCTCAACATCGGATGAAAGAGTAAATTCTGTCACCAGGAAGAAGAAACAATATTTCCAGACGTCATACAGTAAACTAAAAATTTAAAGATTACTAATATGTCAGACAAAAGGAAAAGAAAAGACAACGAAAACCAGTATGTCAAAGTTTTTCGATTCAGGAAGAGAACGAAGTTTTAGTTTTGATTTGATAATACTGTTACATGTACTCATAACTCTAACTTACTGATAATAACGATTAAGGTCATTAAACACAAGAAAAAAGGTTGCACCGACGTGCAATTTGATATATCACATCGCATATTCATTACAGAGGATTTACACATTCAGATTCATAATATATCACCAACAAGTCCTTATAAAATAGTGCATGATATTACTAGAAAATCAATGATAGAAAGGTGCCAATGCACCTCTAGTGCTTTGAACTTCTCGCAGTTGGTGCTTTATTGGAGCATTGCTCCAGCATCATCGGCGCTAGCATCAAACATATCTCATGTGCCTAGTAACTAGCTTATTCATGAACCCTGGGCAAGTGATACACTACGAAGTAAGAAGTCATAACAAAGGTAATCTCCAAAACTGCTGCTCCAATCTAGTATTTAAACCCCCAATAGAAGTTGAGGAACTAGGAAAGGGAAAATGGGCATGCATCCAAGATACAGCCTAATGCACCCTAAGAGAGCCAAGATGGAGATGCATGCAAGCGGATCTTTCGAGCAACCAGGAATTTCATATTATTCAAGATTTTCACGTGAAAATGCATACAACTGGTCTTAGTTCAATTTTAGTTAAACAGATTAATTGAGCAGCAGATTGGCCACTAACTAACTCTTTGTTAACCAGATGGCAATGCAGAACTTTCGGTACCAAACACAACTGGTAACCTCTTTTCTCTTATTGTCTGCTAATGTATAGCTTTCAAAGGAAATAAATTAATAAAACAATGCATAAATCATAATTAGTACAAAATTGCAGAAACACATATCTCACCGTAAAAACTGATGATGCCATTTGGAACAAAGAACATCAGTATCACCAAAATGAACCAGCAAATAACTTTCATCATCCAACCTCCATGGTGCACACCATCACGAGGATCCTTCTGGTTCTTTACTCCAATCATGAAGATGGCAAGTAGTGTGAAGAAGAGGAAATTCCCCAAGCTCACTCGTAACACTGCATCCGTTTCAAACCACTCCCTATCTGGAGTTTGGTGAAAATGATTGATCCCTTCAAGATTGATTGATAATTCAGGTTGTCAGGCGGAGCATTTATCCCAAGTCATTATTATACACAGAAAATTCGCTGTCTTTACCACACTTCCCAGAAAATTAAAATTTGATCAAAAAAATATATATCATTCATTTTGTATCTTAAAAATAATAAAAAGCCACTCAAGTGTGATAATCACAAACTATTCTGAACACACACAAAGCAAATACAAGGGTGACAGTTGACACTAATCACTATCTTCATTTTCAAGATCCAATTTTTTTATTCATCATTCTCACCACAAAAGAATTCCCTTTGAAAGCCAAAGCAATCTAATCTACTATAATCTAATTTATCGAGTTCTCAATCTGCAAGTTTGCATTGAATCTAACAAACCTCACTGATATGCAGAAGACCGCAATAACACTCCAAAAGACAGATAAAACTTTACCCCGTCTTTTCAAAATTCTTGATAAACCACGATATGATAGCAAAGACAAGTACTTACAGGGAATCTTCTCCATGAGGGGTGCGGCAACCTCACGAAGGATCCAGGAGACGATCAGCGAAAGCGCAAACAGGCCACAGTACGCGATACGGGCCGAACGCCGGCTTATTCCCGACACCACCGTCCGGCAAGCATCGCAGGCGCAGGCCGCGCAGCAGGAAGCCAGGCATGAAGCTGCCCACATGTTGTCCTTCTACAGAGATCTCGGCGATCGAGGACCAAGACCGATCGATAGTTCGATGAAAATAGGGACCACGAAGGTCGAGCTGAAGTGGTTAATGGGGTTTGAGTCAGTTGAATTGGGGGCGATCAAAAGGAGAGGATAACCTTTATTTAGAATAAAGTAATCACAAGGAATAACAAACCGATCAAATAAGGCGAATTTCAGTGTTGAGGGAGAGCTTTGCCGCCTTTGTGGTCCTACCCAGCTCGATTCTGGATTAGTCGGTTTCCTTGTAGATTTGGAAATCGGAAGGTCCCTGTAC